AATATTTTTATTATATATAAAATTATATCATTATAGGAATATAGTACCATTAATAAATCATTAAATATTAAAGTTGAACATCCAATTATTTTTCTTAAATTTATTGCTTTATTTATATAAAAAGAAATAATTAAAATAACAATTAATATAAAATAAATTATATAAATATTTAATTTTAAATCTAAACAATCAAAATTAATCTTTACAGATTTTGTTAAAATTGAAGATAAAAAAATTCTATTTCATGATATCAATTCAAATTATTTAATTATTAAAAAATGAAACAGACAAAATGTTAATTTTGTTATTTACACGTTGAGCGCGGCGCCGATATTCCTGTCCTTTCCGTTCAGCTGGCAGCGAGCGAGTACTTGACGGCGAGCGCTTAAACAGTTTTTACGATGGGGAGAATGAATAGCGGATTACTTCGTTTCAAATATTTCCTCTGGACTGAAAAAATGCAGGCAATGCACTCATATACTCACTCCAAAAAGGCGAAGAGACGATCAGTGAGAAAAAAGCCGTGGAAGTATATTGAAAAACAATAAAAATGTGTGGAATTGTATAAAAGTCGATGATTTGTATGCACCTTTTGTCACTGACGAAATGTTTGAACACGTCAGTGTGCAAACAAATCCTTATGCTGCTCAGTTAAGAATTGCATCTAAACGTTCGGATAAATGGATACCAACGAACAAGAATGAGATAAAGCGTATATTTGAGCTAATAATATGGACGGGAGTTGTGAACCTTCGATCCTTACCTTTGTTCTGGACTCGGGATCCACTGTTTGCCCAAACATTCCCGCGAAAGGTAATGAACAGTGATCGATTTGAAATCCTCATGAGAATGCTGCATTTTGCAAATAGTAGAGTAAATGACGCATCTGATAGTCTATCAACAATTAAATTTATAACACTACGTGGGCGAATCATATTCAAGCAGTATTTGAAGCAGATAAAACACAAATATGGTATAAAAGTATTTAAATTGTGCTGTAATCATGGACTCACATACAATTTTCATGTCTACGCTAGAAAGGTTCTTGACAAGGAAAGCACAACACCGTCAAATATTGTAAGGTGTTTATCTAACAATTTATTTCATAAAGGTCATACGTTGTGTGCTGATAATTGGTACACCAGGGTAGATTTGGCAAATAAGCTGATAGAAAAAAATACACATCTGATTGGTACACTTTGAGCACATCGTAAAAGAAACCCATATGAAGTAATAATTACTAAATTGAACGGCGGAGAAATTATCACCAAAGAAAATAATAATGGTATTACAGTGCTGAAGTGGAAAAACAAGAGAGACGGTTTGGTCCTGTCGACAAAACATTCAAGCGAAATGATAAATGTGATAACAAAAAGAGGATTTTGCCGCAAACCCAAAATTATAGCTGAATATAATAAGGCAAAGACATCTATTGACTTGTCGGACCAAATGAGTGTATATAGCAGTCCTTTGAGAAGAACTCTAAAGTATTATAAAAAATTAGCTTTTGAGCTTCTTCCAAGTACTGCCATCGTAAATGCTATGTTCATTTTTCAAGAAGTAACAGGAGAGAAAATATCAATCACAGCATTTCGTAGACACTTGTCGGATGCACTCACACAGCAGTTGAATGAAGAAATTCCATTCCATGGTGAAAGAAGAATTCCCAGGGACCGACACTGCCCAAACGAAAAGTCGACCGCCGGTCCCACAGGGACCGACGCCGGCCAAACGAAAAGTCGACCGCGGTCCCCAGGGAAGAAATAATAATAATTTAATCATTCTTTATATCCTAATAATCTAATTAGGTTTAAGAAATCTATTACAAACAACATTAGAAATGTTCTAGAAGAAATGGACATATAAAATAATATTACTCTTGAAATTTTATTATTAGAATTAATATTAATTATTCTAATTCCAATAAATAAATCATTTCAAAATTTTATTGCAAATTAAAGTTCTACACTTAATAAATAATTAATATTTTATAAATTTATCAGTAATAGTGGTTTACTAATTACAAAATTATTTTATCAAAATATTCCTTTTCATCAGGCACATTATTTCATATTTTAATGATACAGCATATAAAATTTTGAATTTTAAGGAAGTAATTAAATTAATAAATATAAAATTAGATTTATAATAACAACAACAAATTATAACATACAATTACAAATTTTATATTATATAATTTAACTAAAATCCAAATTGAATTTCAAAATTGAATTTATTCTTTTCTTTGCGAAAAAGAATTTTAATATAAACTAAAATTTATAGAAATTATTCAATTTCAAAACTCTATAATAATTTCAATCAACAGAATTATAACAATTCAGTATGCGTTTAATCCTGTATATAGCCATATTTACAATTCACCGAATACCATAGATTAGCACCGCTTAGGATAGCACTGAACCGAGTAGCACAGCCACCACAGAAGAGCAGACGACAGCGGAACAGACCAGCCATAGTGCGGTAAAGCGTCGAATATCATCGCATAGCTAAGGTTACAGTAGCATAGGACAGCACCTCACAGAATCGCACCTCCAAAGCAGCTGATCACAGTAGAGCTCATCAGACAACAGCAGAGTTCAGTAAAGCGCCGAATAGCACCCAACATAAGCACCATAAGCACTATGTTGAGTAGCACCGCATTGAATAGCACTGCCTCGACAATAGAGCATAGGAGACAGCAGCAGTGTGCAGTAGAGCGCAGTAAAGCACAGCAGAGCGCCGAATATCAGCGACCAGCTTAGGTTAGATCTGCTTAGGTTAGCGCCGCGCCAGATACCATGGCCATGACAGCAGAGCGCAGCAGGAAATATTTAAGCGCCGAATAGCCCCGCATAACACGGATTAGCACAGCTTATTGCAGAAACTTACCCCATGGCACCGCCACTACAGCAGAGCGTAGCAGAGTGTAGCAGGGCGCAGTATAGAGCCGAACAGCACCGGACAGTACCGAACAACGCAGATTCGCACTGCTTATTACTGTGCAGCACCGAATGGCATCGCTGCCGAAGCAGAACATCATAGAGCGCAGCAGTGCGTCACATACCATAGCAAAGCTCCGTAAACCGTCGAATCGTACCTAATAGCACAGATTTGCACCGGTTATTACAGTACCGCACTGAAAAGTACAGCCACCACAGCAGAGCACAGCAGATTGGAGAATACGTCAGGACAATAACAAATATCTTCGCCACAACAACCGAGGATAGCAAAACACAGCAGAGCACAGTACGTCCGGAATACCGCCGAATGCCATAGATTAGCACTGCTTATGACAGGACAGCATCAAATCGCACCGCCAAGACAGCAAAGCGAAACAGAGCACAGTAAAGCGCAGCAGAGCACTTTAGGGGACTGAAGAGTGCAGCAGAGAGCAGCGAAGCATACCAGAGCACATCAGCGTACAGTAGAGCTTGGAATATCGACGGAGATCACAGATTAGCGCAGTATTGTACAGTACACCACCGAATAACACTGTCACCATAGCAGAGCACAGCAGAGAACACTAGTGTGCCGAATAGCACCACGTTGCTCAGGTTCGCGCTGTTTAAGGCAGCACTGCCCCGAATAGCACCCCCATACAGCAGAGCACAGCAGAGCACAGAAGAAAGCAGCAGCGCACAGAAAAGCATAGTAGAGCATCGAATATCATCGCCAACACAGCAGAAAACACTTGTATTGGGCGCTGTACTGCCCTCTGGCTGATATCTAATGTGCTCTGCTGCACTCTGCTTAGTTGTGATGTGCTCAGCTGTGGTCGCTGTGTTACGCCGTGCAGTGCTGCTCTAAGCAGTGCCATTGTGTCGTATTCGATGCTATTGGGCGCTCTTCTGCGCCTTGCTGTACCCTACTGTGCTTGGCAGCGCTCTGCTGCGTTGAATAGCACGTTAGAGACCCGCAGCTCAGAGTAGGTCGTACCAGGGCATGTCATGGCAGGGCAGGGTAGGGCAAAGTATAGCAGCCAGGCTAGAGCTCGTTGTGCAGAGCACAGCAGGGCAAGGCAGAGCAGGGCTATTCGTGGTAGGATAGGTTTTGTTTGCTTCAGTGCTGGCAAGAATGGGTAGGGAAGTGCAGGGCAGAGCTGGGCTGGGTAGGGCACAGCATGGCATGTCAGAGCAGTTCCGGGAATTGCAAGATAGGTCAGGGAAAGCAAGCGGTGCTTCCTAAGCAGGGCTAATCTGTGCTATTCTCTACTATTCTTCGCTCTTCTTTGCCTAAATACTGCACCCTCTGCTCTCCGGTTTGCCCTGCTGTGGTGGCTGTGATATTCGGTGCATTGCTGTCCACCCAGGCCTAACTTGTGCCATTAGGTGCAATTCGGGACTCTGCTGCTCTTTGCTGCACTCTGCTGCACTCTGATACGCTCTAATGTATTCTTCTGAGCTGGCGGTGCTATAAGGTGCGGTGCTGTCAGAATCAGTGCTAATCTGCTCTATTCGGTGGTTTTCGACGTTTTACTGTTCTCTGTTGCGGTTCTGCTTAGCTGTGCCCTGCTGTGCCGTAGGAGCGGTGCTATTAAGTGCGGTACAGTCCGAAGCAGGTCTAATCTGTAGTATTTGCTGCCATTCGGTGCTATTTGGCGCTCTGCTGCACTTTGCCGAGGTGGCCGTGCTAATCGTTGCGATGCTGTCCGAAGCAGTGCCAATTTGTGACATTCGGAGCGGGGCTATACAAACCTGTGATAATCCGATGTATTCGTCTATATGCTGTGCTCTGATGTGTTCCGCTGCTCTTTGCTGCGCTCCGATGTGCTCTGCTGTGCTGCGCTGTGGTTGCGTTGCTATATGGTGTAGTTCTGTCCTAAGCAGTACCAATTTGCTTTACTCGGTGATGTATAGGGCTTTACTGCGGTCTGATGCTGTATCCGACGAAATACTGTGCTCTGCTGCGATGGCGATGCTATTCAGTGCTGTGCTGCCCAAAGCAGTGCCCATCTATGCTCTTCGGCCCTCTTCTGTGCTTTGCTGCCTCCCGATTTTCTCTGGTGCGCGCTGCTTCGCTCTGCGTTGCTCTGCTGTGCTCTGCTGTGGTGGCAGCTCTATTCGGTGAACTAATGTCCTAAGCAGAGCTAATCTGAGCTTTGCTGTTCTATTCTGCGTTATTCTGTGCCGTGCTGTACTCTGAGGCGCTCTCCTGTTATCTACTGTGCCATGATGTGTTGTCGCTGCTACTCGTTGCAGCGCTTAGAGCAGCACTGTGAGTACTGGAAACAACAGCAGAGCTCAGCAGGGCTTATCAGAGCAGTCGAGCACTCAGTCGAGAACTGCAGACCACAGTAGAATGCAGCATTTTACCGAAAAACACCGATTAGCGCAGAGTAGGTACGTTTAGTACATTACCGCACCGAATAGAGCAGCCACCACATCAGAATGGAGCAGAGACCAGCAGAAAGCAGAAGAGGGCCGAATAGCAGCGAAGAGCACAGAATAGCACTCATGCGGACAGCACCGCGCAGAATAGTATTGCCACCACAGCTGTGTATTCCAGCGCACAACAGAGCACAACGGAGCATAGCAGCACGTCGAACACCGCAGGGTGAAACAAATTAGCACTGCATAACACAGCATTGCAATGAATAACACCGCCGCCACAGTAGATAGCAGCAGTGTGCTGGAAGGAGCAGGAGAGCACAGCAGATCTCTTAATAGCAGCGAACAGTATGGATTCGAACTCCTTAGGGCAATACCGCACCGAATAGCACCATTAGCGTAGCAGAGCAGAGATGAGCACAGCATGGCTCAGTAGAGCGCTGCATAGCTCAGAAGACGAAAGTGGAGTAATGAATAGAACCGAAAAAAGCAGATTAGCACTGTTAGGAACAACAACGCACCCATTGGCACAGACTAGCGCAGCTTTGGTCGACTAGCAACGAATAGCATCTCCTTAATAGCAGAACGCAGCAGTGCGATGCGAAGTGCAGCAGAGCACAACGGGAACAAGAAATCGCCGAATAGTTGCGTAAAGCACAGATTACCAGTAATTTGGCAAGCACTGCACCGAATAGCACCACTACCACGCTGGAGTACAGCAGAGCGCAGAAGAGTGCTGAATATCACCGAATAGTGCAAACTAGCATCGATTATGGCAGCATCGTACAGGATAGCACCCTCACTGCAGCAGAGCTCAGCAAAGGACAGCAAAGTGCAGCAACGCGCAGCGGAGGACAGCAAAGCACAGTACGGTGCCGAGTAGTACCGAATGGCACATATCAGCACTGCTTAGCACAGCACCGTCACAACAATAACAATTTGCAGTAGATTGCAGTGTAGCCCAGAATGGCACAGATTAACACTGCATAGATCAGCATCGACCCAAATTGCACCGCCGCCACAGCCGAGCGCAGCAGAACAGAGCAGACAACAGTAGCGTGCAGGGCAGCTGAGAATGGCGCATATGAGTACTGCTTAGGAAATCACCGCTACAACAGCAGAGCGTTGCAGACCTCAGCAGGTTACAGGGGAGCACCGCATAGCACTGTATAGAACAGATTAGCACAGCTTTGGGCAACACAGATCCGAATAGCATCGTCATTTCGACAGAGAATGGCGAACAAATACAGTGCTCAGGTGAAAACTGCAGAGCACCCAATAACACTGGAAAGCTCAGATTAGAATTGCTTAGGACAGCACTGTAGGAGCAGCACCACACTGCAGCGCAGCAGGACGCACCATAGAGCAGCTTAGCAGAGAAAAGTACACCATACAGCCGTATTGTACCGTGTAACAGAGATTAGGATTGATTAGAACAGCGCCGCATCGTATAGTACCGCCACATCAGCTGAGCACAGCGGAGCACAGCAGAACGCAGCAGTGCATAGAATAGCATAGAGAGGTACTGATTAGCACTGCTTTGGAAAGCACCACAACAAATAGCAACGCCGTCACGGCAGAGGGTAGCACAAGCGCAGGACAGAGCAGCAGAACACCACACCAGAGCGCCGACAAGCATCGAAAAGCACAGACTAGCACTGCTTAGGACCTCACAACTCCGAAAAGCGCAGCCATCACAACTCCGAACAGCGCGGCCATCACAGTTGAACACTGCAGAGAGCAGCAGACGGTAACAGCGGGCAGCAGAGAGCGGCATAGCAAAGCAGATTGCCCAATAGCACAGATTGTCACAGACTACCATTGCTTAAGGCAGAACATCACCAAGTAGAGGAGCTACCACAGAAGAGCACAGCAGAGCGCAGCAGACAGCTGCACACTACTGGAGAGTGCCGAAAGCATCGAATTGTACTTATTAGCTCTGCTTTGGACACCACAGCTCCGAATTGCACCGCCACCAAAGCAGAGTGCTGAAAGGCGTAACAGTGCAGCAGAGTGGAGCCGAGTAAAGAAATGCACAGCAGAACGCCGAATAGCAAAGAAAAATGCAGACTGGCACTGCATAGGACAGTATTGCTCAGAATATCACGGCCAACACAGCAGAGCGCATCAGATCACAGCAGGGAGCAGCACTGCACAGCACAGCACAGCACAGCACAGCACAGCACAGCGGCTTACAACAGTGCATAGCAACGCGCTGAATAGCATTGAATAGCACAGATTATCACTGCTTCGGACAGCACTGCGTCGAATAGCAGCGCTTCCACATTAGAGCACCACAGGGCGCAGTGGAGAGCTGCAGAGCGATTCAGATCGCAGCAGACTACAGTCGAGCTGAGCAGAGCTAACGTAAAGCGCAACATAGTAGCGAATAACACAGATTAGCCCAAGTTCGGATAGCACAACACAGAATAGCC